GAAAAGGGTAGCTGGGAGTGGAGGGTTGGTTTATGGCGGCAGTGGGAAACAGTTCCTTCAGGGGGTGATAAGGAGGCCTGGCTGGTCTTGGGAGTGTGGAAGTCCTTGGATTCCTCCTGGGAGAGACACAAAAATCATGTGTGAGGCAAAAACAGGCAAAGTTGTCAAAGAATATGCTGGTAAAGAGCTATGAGCGGCACGCTACAAACCGTTTCACGGCAACAATGGCAGGGGAATGAGTGCAGGCTGCAGGTTTTCATAGTGTGGCTGATGAGCAGGTTTCAGGTGTGGTTGATTGGAGATTGCTCCCAGCCGTGTAGAGCAGACCAGCAGGCAGAGAGAGAGACACACAGTAGAAAGAAACACATACAAACACTAACAGGGGGTTTCAGGGACGGGCAGTGATAGTCGGTCCATTCTTCTATATGTCTGTCTTTGGTTTTCTAAGTGTTATTCGATCCATATGACAGTAGAGATATGTGCATAAACAACAAAAACACTTGGGGTATAATGTTCGAACAATGTTATCACCAAACATTTTAAGAATGTTTTTAGAGAACGTTATCCTACCTTTCAGAAGTAAATTCTAGGAACCAAATAAAACTTCTCGATGAAACCATTCCTAGAATAATGAATGGTAACATTCTCAAAATGTTTTTAGAACCAACAATGTCTAGCTGGGAACTCAGACATGCCTACGCAAACATGCAATATCATGAATTACGTGCTTGTTTTTTCTAAAAAGGAAAATGTGGTGACATCAGATTTCTTTTAAACATCCTTTTCAACCAAATGCAACAACTTTGTTTTTTAAAGCACACTACAAATAAATTTGACGTTGACCATGACCCTGTTAATATTTCTCATCACAGGAACATTTTATAAAAAGAGAATAACCTCCTGAAAACATTATCCAAATGTTGCTTTCAAAATGTTCTTCTTTGGTTATCATTTAACATTGAGGGAACATTTTATAAAGAACATCTTTAATGTGTTACCCCAACAACGTCCAAAACACGTCCTTAGAATGTTGCAGGCAAAACGTTCCACCTTTGTTAACGTATCACATTAAAGGAACATTTTATAAAACACTTTCTGTCATCTCAGTCCTCAATAACATCCTGAAAACATTTTCAGAATGTTTCTTGGAGAATGTTCTTCATTTGTTATCATGTAACATTGAGGGAACATTTTATACAACCCTTTCTCTCATCTCAGGCCTCAATAACATCCTGAAAACATTTTCAGAATGTTGCTTGGAAAATGTTCTTCATTTGTTATCATGTAACATTGAGGGAGCGTTTTATAAAGAACATCTTTAATGTGTTACCCAACAACGTCCAAAACACATCCTTAGAATGTTGCAGGCAAAACGTTCCACCTTTGTTAACGTATCACATTAAAGGAACATTTTATAAAACACTTTCTGTCATCTCAGTCCTCAATAACATCCTGAAAACATTTTCAGAATGTTTCTTGGAGAATGTTCTTCATTTGTTATCATGTAACATTGAGGGAACATTTTATACAACCCTTTCTCTCATCTCAGGCCTCAATAACATCCTGAAAACATTTTCAGAATGTTGCTTTGAAAATGTTCTTCATTTGTTATCATGTAACATTGAGGGAACGTTTTATAAAGAACATCTTTAATGTGTTACCCAACAACGTCCAAAACACATCCTAAGAATGTTGCAGGCAAAACGTTCCACCTTTGTTAACATATCACATTAAAGGAACATTTTATAAAAAAACATTTCAGGCCTCAATAACATCCTCAAAACATCCTCTGAATGTTGCAGTTAAAACGTTATGTCTTAGTTAACCTTAAACCTTATAGGAACATTATTTGAACAAATAAACATCCTAAAAAGGTTCTTTGAACATCAGATTAAAATGTTTCTTTAAAACCTTGTTAGAACCAATAGGTAACGTTAGCCAAAGTTGTGAGAACGTTCCCCGCTAGCTGGGCACACTAGACGTTTGTTTTCACTTCAGGTGCTGAAGGTGGCTTGTTTCTCCCCTTAAATGTGTTTCTATATGTATATACAGTATGGGTCTGGAACTAGTCCAGGTCCAACATGCAACAAGTGGGATTTGGAAACTTGACTGCACATCACTAACAATGGACTTTCCATGAAGTAGAAGACATCTTGTGTTGAATAGAATCTAGTTTATTTCTTTTAAATGAAAAAACAAAAACTAACATCAGACACATTATTGAAAGCAGAATATTGGAATATGTCTCAAAACATCTGAGGAAGCGATATGTTTTGAGTTAATTTTTGCATCTATACCATAGCAACATTGTTTTAAACAAACCTCTGGACTGTGTTGTTACAATATATATTTAAATCAATTACTGTCATACTAAATGATACTGTTCGCACAACAGATAAATAAAAGAAAGTTTGATAATCGCCTGAAACAAATCTCATTAGTAATCATGACAAAGACATAATCTCCTTTCACCGTCAGGAGGTGGCAAACCATTGTTTTTAGGTATTAACATGCATGCAGCCTATACAGTATATCGAAACGATAAAAAAGGCATATACTGTACTGTTGTAACATGCTGCTATCAAAGGATAAAAATATTCAGAAATGTGTGGAATGGGCATGTGTTTATCCTGTGATGTGCATGTGAAACATTGTTTCCATTTATATAGGAGGCAGACAAAGTTTCCATAGAGTGCATTTTCAGTAATAAGTGGCTAAACATTCTGTGCTTTGAGGAAGAACTGATATTTTTTACCAATGGATAAAAACAGGTTGTTGTTGTTATGTTCTTAACTGACAGCTGATTGCTCATATTGAGAAATAACTTAGTCTGATAATTAGATTTCTTGGTCAGAATTTTTTTCTGCTGCATCAATAATGAAATGATTGTTCTGAATATCAGAGACTAAGTTGTCATCCTGTTGTTGAATAAGCTGTATTGTCAGTAGCACAAATGACTGTCTGTTTGCAGACACCACAGTGGTCATCATTGTTTCGGTGACCCTGGCACTTCTGGTTTGTGCCATTATACCTCTTATATTCTACGGACACTGCAGGAATAATGCGGGTGAGGAGACACATGCTCAGAGACACATGCTCAGAGACATTCATGCTTACACACACTGCTTACACTCTACAATGTCTACATTTTTTTTAAGGGTACATTTTGCCCATATTTTTAATTCATACATGTTTTTCCCAAGTAATTGGAGCTGCTTCATAAATTAACTCTGAAAGATGTTATAGGTGACCCTGAGGGCACCAAGGACAACAGAGACACTGAGAACATTTCAATATAAAAGAGGTCATTTAGGTATTAAAATAACCCTGTGGGTTTACAAAATGTTCATATTCATTGTCTATAGGGCAGCTGCACACTTTAAGGATGGTGAAAACACACATTTCAAACATACTTCTCGGCTTTGAGATGCTCATATTCACAGATATTGATTGAACTTTCGTAGGCCAAAGAACAAACATGAAGCAATCCTAAATTAAGGGTAGTGGTCCCCTTTAAGGAATCTTGTTGCTTGTGTGTTTCAGAAGGTCTAAACAAGAGTGAGGTTAGTAACCATTTTATAATTCACCACTTTTAGTGTTGATTTAATTGTTCACCTCTAACAGCTGTTCTAATGACTGTATGGTATTTACTTACAGTCTGATTACTGCGAGGAAAATACGGATGGTGCTTCTACTCACTCTGCAGTGAGGATGCAGGCTCTGCAAGCAGGTGCTGATCCAGAGTCTAGTATTCCCGACGCCTCGCAGTACGCTGCTGTCTATCAGGCACTGGATCCGAAGACTGTGGACTGAGCAGGATTTATTCCTTTGAGCTGACAGCTAAACTCAACCTCTTCTCTGTATGTTACATTAAATAAAGGACAAGTGTTTAACTATATTTCTGTACTATATGTTTGACTTTCTATGTGTCATTTTGTAAATGTGTGAGTAAATGTGTCAGTTAAACTGGGTTCAGTTAAAGTATATCTAATCTGATCCAATTTCTTGCACTGACAATCATTATGTATCATTAGCACTTGAAATATTTTAGCTCTATGAAACCTGATGTACTTATATGACTCTGTTTTCTTCAAGTTTGTATCTTGTTGGTCGAATGCACTTATTGTAAGTCGCTTTGGATAAAAGCGTCAGCTAAATGCAATGTAATGTAAAGTAATGTTCTTGTGGGGGATTGCAATGGCCCTTCCCACACTTCCTTCCCTTTACTTCCGGTCCCCTTGCTCGGGCAACACCTATCTTGAAACCCAGCCTTCGCCTTTATCTCATCTACATACCTGCAAAGTCACACCCAATCAAGCCAGGGAAGTAACATGGCGTTGTGGCCCCCTTCCTCCCCTTGCTCGAAACATGCCTATCTTCGTACTTGACCTTCAGTTTGATCTCCGCTATATGTGTGTAAAGTTTTCGTCCTGCATGTTGTTTCATGGCCACAAAAATATCTCTGCAGACAAACAAAGAAATACAGACACCTGGAAAGTTACTCAAATCAAATTCAGTGGTAGTTCCTTGAGCACTTTTTGCCATGATGACAAACACCAACGCCTAAAGCAATGTTCCAAACTGCATGGAAAGCACTACTGGACTTACTACATCCTTGTCAGAGTACCTTTCTGGAGGTTTGGGATCCTCTGCTTTATACAATTCAACGTAGTGTTGGGGTAAGACCTGCAGAGGGTGCTACAGTACACATAAGCTATGATTCAACATGTCATCTTTGCCTCTCCCTATCTTTCACAACCCCCCTTGACAGCTCATTGACCATTATTCCTTCAGAAACTTTAAATACCTGGTCGTAAAGAGCGAATTTAAAACACTAACAAAGATTGTTGTCACCCATTTAATTTTTTCTTTGTGTATTTTTGTTATGTTGGTGTAGGCCTCAATTTTATTGTTGTTCCTTCAGTTTAATTAAGATTATTAATTGCATGTAGTTTATTTTGGAATTTGGAAAGAACAAAATGAAAACATAAAATTAATTGTAGATATTTAGTTTTCATCAGATGCACCAGTGTTTATGCTACCAGAACTATTTTCATGTTTAAAGTGATGTACTAAAGGCCCTGCTAGGTGTTATTGGTTACCTTGAGTCAGAGGGTTAACTGTTGCTTCCAGTGTCCTGTCTTTATGCTAAGCTAACAGGCTTCTGGCTATAGCCTTGCCTACAGTATATTAACTCCCTCACAGAAAATATCTACTAATTATATATGATATACTTTTGCTTTAAACTTTAAATAAAGCAGTTTAATGTTAACGTCACAGGACATAAAAGTGATTCATAATGTGACCCTGTCTAAATGCATGTAGTTAAAATACTTATTGAGTGCGCTTTAGTTGCGCTGATAAGTGGGATTCCAATGGCAAATACCAACAGGTGGCAGATGTGGAGACATTTTAGAGTGACCTTACAGTTAATGAGTCATTGCGTTTTAATCACCTTTAACAAGTGTGTAGCTGAAAGACTTTTGTGTAAACTCATGGATATTCCACTTGTGGGCGAATATATCAAATAAAATAAAAAGGTTATCTACACAATGGAACTTACAACAGCAGGTTAACATTTTCAACAATAGTAACAGTGCGAGCTTGAGGACCATAAAAAGAAGAAAAAAATAAAAATAAACCAAATGAAATAAAATACCTTACAAATTAAGTTTACTTACTCTAGTGTACAGAAACTCTTACAATTTTAAGAGTTTCTGTATTGTTTTAGCATGTCCAGGTAAGATTTTTAAGTAGGACATGAAGACAGTTAGGGTTGGATTTCTGTTTTGTATGTATAAAATAAAAAAAAGGATGATGCACATTCTCTTGACAGACATTACATCATCAACAATGTTTTATTCAATTTCGAGATTGGGTTTATTATAAAGTTTTCTGTGTATAGTAATATCATACCAAAAAGTCTAACTACAGGTACTGTCCCAAAAAGGGCGACTTAACATTTAAACTGTGGTGAGCTTAGTAACAGAGAGGGTAAACATTTAATCTATACACTTTACGATTACAGAATTAACTGGATTACACCGTGCAAGATTTCCGAGACATCCTTATTTGGAACCAAACATTTTCTGGGTAATAACCATGCGTACAAAGGATGAACAAATCCTTGTGGGCAGAGGTGTCGAAACAACAGAATGACTCTCACTTCTCTCTGACTGTCTCGCACCCTCCCTGCAAATGTTGTGACTCTGCCTGCATCTGAGCACGTATACCGTTCACAAGACTTGTGCATATGTCTGAAAAAGTGTGAAGACTACATAAAACAAATGTTCGTAATAATTATATTTTGTTTGTTTAATCTTTACAAAACCAAGGTATAAAATTGACCATTGAAGTTAATTTCAGTCAGATCCATGCTAGCTATACCAACATGTTCATGCAAGCTAAGCAAGCTTTTGATTAGCAGCATAGACGTGAATGTTAACCTTCTTGTCCACGCTTTTTGAGTGAGCCCTTTCACTTCAATCATTTGATACATCTCTATTATTAAATGTAGCTTACATTTGTGCCAAGGCAACTACAACTATTCAGTACTACCCAATACTCTGAATAGTTAATCAATATATCAATATAAGATATGAAGAAGCAGCGTGCATTATTGTATATCAATGACATAATATCAGTGATGGACAGTATGTATTTTATTTTAATATTTCGCATTACATTCACCTTTATTGCTAAATACACATAATTGATAGCGCTTAAAGGAAGTGTTGAAATGCATTGGAGAGAATGGTCCTCTCGCTTTAGCCCATGTTTATCTTCTCTTGGGTTTATAGTCATGTCTACACCCCCTCGTATGCTCTCTAAACCACAGGAAGTAGGTACACAGTTGAGAGCTTACATACAGTAGATGTAATCTTATTTGCAAACGGCTGTGCAGTAGTGGAACATGATGAAAGATTTAACCACTGCTTAGTCTATATTAAAAATAGATTTCAAATCAATTTCAAGATCCAGGAGAGACCAACCAGAGTAATACAACTACAGAGCTGACCCTTTTCATTCAGAATGAATACCTTTTATGCTTTGTTTTTTCTTCTACATGGTGAGTGTTTTTATTTAAATCCTCTATTAATGTGTCCAAACAAATCAAATATGCTTTAACTCTTGTTGGATGATTTTATTTTTGGCAGCTTCTGGGATAGAGGGAGCAGCGATCAACGTAGAGGGATTCGTGGGGGGAGATGTCTCATTCCAGTGTTCTCACAAATTTGCCTCGAAGATAGCTAAATACCTCTGCAAGGCTGCATGTAAAGGAATTGAAGATAGACTGGTTACTGTACAGTCTGGTGCAACAGCCGAGTCGGGAAGGATAACTCTGGTGGACTCAGGGGCCGGAGCCTTCTCCGTGTCCTTCAGACAACTCCAGCTGTCAGACATGGGGAGATACTGGTGTGGGGTGGAGAGGATCGGTTTTGACACATACACTTCAGTACAGCTTACTGTTAATGAAGGTATGCGTGTTATCTTATCATTCATATCTTTAACATGTGTCCTTACACTGATTTTTTTTTTTTTTTTTTCTCTGCATTCATGAACACACATTTTGTATTATTATGAATGGAATGTGGAGAGAATATTGTGTGTTTTTTACTCTACATCTGAATCCTGGGGAATAATTATTGCACAACTGTCCCCCATACAGGTGTTACAAATGAGACAAGAACTGTCAAACCTGAACTTTCTCACACATGGACATATGAGAATATGTCCAACTCAACACAGTTAACATCTGTAATGGACACCAGTAACCCTCCAATACTTTCAGCAGGTTAGAAGAAAACTTCACTTTGACTTCTTACAAATATATCTAATATCTTAAAAAAACGTTTTGAAAGAAATATCTCATCTGACCTTACAGCCACCAACAACAGTAATGGAGGAGAACAGAACGTCAGTACAGGTGGGTTTCATTTTGCATGTCTCAGCTGGAGAATGATGCTTGTGGAAATGTAAAGCGCTAAGCCATCTCTCTTGTACTTTTGTGTTTTTTAGGCACCGTTTTGTTTGCTACAGTTGGGACACTAGGCATGCTCACAATTTTGACGCTGGCATTGATCATCAGGAAATGTAGAGAGAGTTCAAAACCTCAACCACGAGTTTGCTTCAACTGCACAGACCTCTTCGGTGCAGACAAAAGAAAGGTATGAGAAACAAACTCAACACGTCAGGATGTCTAATAGCAAAACAACTGTCTTCCTAGAGAAACATGGCAATTGTCTTGACAGTTGGTCAAATAAAGCTGACAACGATCAGGTTTCCTTTCCTGATTTCAGAGGTCAATGTACAACCAGGGGTTTTCCAAAATACTTTCTGCTCCAATACGACATCACAACCCATCTCATACAAGAAAATGGTTAGCTTTTTGCAAGCTTTACAGGAGCTGATTTGTTTCCCCTGCCTTTAGTCTCTAAGCGCACTTGTATAGCATATGTTTTACTGAGAAAAATGTGCAGAGACACAGTTCAATTCCCCACAGTATAGTACACAATATGCTAATTATTTAAATAACGTTGCCACTTTTCAGCAGGCCAACTGTGCGAACAATGAAATTGTTGAGCCAGGGAAGTCGTTGAAGAACACATCTCAGAGGCTCTCCTGTACTCAGCAGCACCCAAAGATGGATCCACCAACATCTGCTTCCACAGCCCCTGACTTTCATACATATGAGAACATTTGCTGCTCCAAAGGCGCTGCACATTCGAGATTCTCCCCAGCAAACAACGGAGACGAACAATACGCCAACACTGTGATTTACATCAAACCATTACCACCTTTATCTGGAGGAACTGTCAAGGGCTGTCTTAGAAAACCCACAAATGAACCTACAGAAACTACAAATGCCAAAGACCAAGAGAGCTGTACAAGCAATGCACCCACCTGTCAGTCCCGCGCAGTCACAGAAGTGAGGCCAGCATCACTTTGGTTTGGGTTGAATTTATCAAAAACAGAGTGAGTTAGTGTGAGTATGATTGGGATTTTAAAGTTTAACTTTTGACATTAATAAACAACTGAGCTGTACTTTCTAATCTGCTTCTAAAGTGTTAACCCACATTAATCTTTCAATTAAAACTGCCTCTGTCTTTTTATTATTTCAGAGACAAAAAAAATCAAAATCATCTACAGCTTTTTTGTCCATTTGACATACTTCAATAAAATACAAATATTTGATTACAAGGCGTAACCGTGTGAGTTCAACAAGATTCAAAGGTTACAGCGGAGACAGTTTATGCACAATCCTAGCACGACAAGTTTATATTTTCTATGATTTTTTTTAACTGCTACCATATTTATGGAGCATTGACCCTTTCTTTCAATTACAGGGAACTGAGTAAATGGCTAAGGCTATCTCATTAGCTAGCATTAAGAACGTGGACACTGCAGTTAACTCTTTTTTATATTTATTTCAAAGGAGTTGTAAAAAAAGTAATAAAGAGTATTTTCTATGGTCTTTAGAAAGTAAGATTCTGGAAAATTCTTACATTTTGGCCATAGGGCAGTATGATATAATAGTGTTTATTTTCTTGGTTAAAATGTGCATACATCTCCGGTGGATGTTGGTCAATGTAGTGTCTTCAGGTGACAAAAGTAAGTGTGCAGGTCTTTATGACTGAAGTTAGACCGTGTGGGATGGAGAGGGCTGATGCGTGTGTTAAACTGGTGACTCCTAGTGGTCATATTATCAAAGACACTCTGAATAATGACACTACTCACCAAATTATAATTTCCGGGACATTAATGTTAACATTTTAAACGTTTGTGTGTACTATGGAGCAACATATAAAGGAACAATATTTTATAAAGATGGGAAATGAAAGGATGATGAAGGCTTGCTTTCAGCCAGAATGATATACTATTTAATATTGTATAGTTCTGTCTAACCAGCATTTCTACCATCCATTTCAGCTCCTTTATTATGATATATTATTTTATATTATATATTATTATTATTAGACTTCATGATGTATTTCTTATGTGGGGCATTTGGTTCAGAATAACACATCTTTTAGTCTCCTCCATAATAATAATACAAATAAAACACTCCAAATGCTTGCCTTTCATGGCATTCCTTTTATATATAAGTTGCTTTAATAGCTTCAACCTGGAATTATCTTTCACCTTTCACAACCTTTTAAACATGTTCTCATTAACTCTTCATATCTACATGAACTTGTCAGTGGAATAAATAAAATAAAAAATAATAAAATATAATAATAATAAAATGATAAAATAATGTTATTAATAGTTCATGTTGAGACGAAACCATAACAGGTGCTAACTTTGATTAAAACATACTTTATATAAAGGTTTGTAAAATGTGAGGACAACAATCTACCTCCTGAGCCACTGCCGCTGAATAGAAACGTTGACATTTATTCATTTCTGGGTCACTTGAGAAGGCCACTCTTTAGATCCACCCAACCCATCATCCTTTTACATTCATGGGCTGAAAGTTATGTGGTGAAATGTTTTTTACATGAAAGAGGAAGAGGTTGACACACATGGACATGAAAGCACCAGACAGAACACACAGACAGTTTTTATTCCAGGTTGCTGTCTCATTGTGAAGAAGTTGAGCGTGTGGACTGAATGTAAACTGAGAACGATGGGAGCGACGTGGATCTCATGGAGAACAACTGCAACCGTGTTCATCACTCTTCTACAAATCAAAGGTGGGCCGCTATGCTTTAGGTATTTCAAAGCTGATGAAATAGTCTTTAAATGAGTCAAAACTAAAATGTAAACACTTGGTTACGCAGCTAACAATGATTTTGTGTCACTGACAGCTCTGATCAGTGTCCAGACTACAGTTACCGGTGTGGAAGGCCAGACGGTTGAGTTCAAATGTGAATATGAAGATGGCCATAAGAGCAAAGTTAAATACTTCCGCAATGACAAAAATACGATCCTGATACAGACAGAAAAAGATGTCCGGTCGGTGAGAAATGGACGTTTTTCTCTTTTCGACAACACCACCGGATCCTTCTTCATCGTGAGGCTGGACAAACTCACCTCAAGAGACAGTGGGACGTACAGGTGTGGGGTGGACTCACAGCTGATCATAGAGCTGAAAGTTTTCCAAGGTACAGTATATGATGGCATCGTATAGGGTTACTATTTTAACTGCTGGTGGTCTTTAGCATGCACAACCAAAATTATATTTTCTGGTTAGTGCTTCAAAATTATAGATAATCGATAGCTAACCAGACAAATGTGATATAGTTTCTGTACAAATGGTGATCTGGAATCGTCGGGCCACATACCATAAATGAGAACTAAGTACTGATACCTTTCTCACACATGTTCCTTCTTTTTTTTTTTAAGATTTCTATTTCTGTCACACACACACACACACACACACACACACACACACACACACACACACACACACACACACACACACACACACACACACACACACACACACACACACACACTTCTCTATTATGTTCAGCAGTTGTCCTTTGCTCTGATGATCCCTCCGCAGCACAAAACGCTGAGAAAAGAGACAATTTTAATTGATGTAAATAACAATATCTTTTTTAATCTGTTCGCCATCAGAATCACAATCATTTTCATGTTTGCCCGTTTACTTCTGTTATTCAGCATTGAAATCACAGGATCAGTTTTGTTAGTAAATATATTAATTAATACATTACTTCACCCCGGTTATTTTGCCAATAATAAACACAGAATATATGATAAGAATAATGTATATTTAACCACAAATTCATATAGAGATTATGGCGTGTTTCTTATGCTACATTTCTGCCCCTCACCTTTTGTCCAGGGGAGTTTGTGTCTGCACAGTATCAGCACAAGCACAAGTGTCAGTAAGGCAAGACAGCCCACCACAATGCCAATTATGCCTGAAACTGAAAGACAACAGTTGAAGCTGTTTAATAATACATGCTGTCAGAAGAGTTTATTTGTGTTCAAGATTCATGCATAAAGGCAAACATTGTTTCAGCATTTGTTTGCAGTTGCTGTTTGTTAGCAAATGGACACATGTGGTCAGTGCTTGTTTAATTATATGTCCCTTATTTGAAACAGCAAAACAAAATCCTATAAGTGGAGATGAAGCCCTGAACAACTTAAACCAAAGAGTGTAGCGTGCATGGCAGAGGTCAAAAAGAATTAGATCTACAAGAGTTTCGTACTCAAGTACAAGTGAAGCGTACTTAAAATTACATTTTACGCAGAATAAAAATCACTTGTTAAAAAAGTGTACGAAGAAAACAAGTGATGGAATATGTAAAATACTTAGGGTTGTGATGAGGTGCTGATCACTGGAAATAGAACCATGTGCATATATTTTATGTAGATCTGTTTATTTTGAGAAGGCCTGGGGCTTACACCTTAAAAATAATCAAAATATGCATTCCAGAGTAGAGTAACAAGAATTAACCAGTGTACACTAGGCATTACGCTACATGAATACAAATAAACTGCCACTTAAACAGCTAAATAAAAACACATCAAGGTCCCAAACATAGGTGCAAACAATATAGCCCCATTGCAGTGGCAGCCACAATCAATGCCATAAGCAAAAGGTTTTTAAATTGACAACAAGGCAGCGCGCACATAATCAACCTTTCAGGGGTTTTGTTGTGACTTCTCCTTTGCCTCCGTTTTCCTCAT